TTTCGACAGATCATCATATTGGTACCCTGGTACTGTGGTCTGCCCCCGGGTCAAGTGCACCTAATCTTCTGCAATCTGACAGTAGGAGGATAAAGAGGGCCATAGTTCCTCTAGCACGAACTTTAGTTGCTGAATTGGGACCTCAGCAGCAGTTCTCGTCACCAGTTGACACCTCGCACCCCTACACGTCGGTCAGAGATGATGATACATACATTGGTAGGGAATTAGCTTTCTTTTTTCAGAGCACAAAAGTTCGTTAATTCTGTAAGTATCATATTAATTTCAGTGGGAAAACTTGCTTATGTCCTATAGAGACTCGGCAAGGTATGCCTACATTCTTGGATTACCAATTTTACTTTTGAGGCAATTAACTGTTTCATTTGTTTTAGAAACACAGTTTCACTTGTTTAGTAGGATTTTCTTGCCCTTATCCTCTTACATGAGTACCGGGTACAAGATTTCCTGCGACCTTGATTTAATTAATCATTTAACTAACTTTCATTGTTAAAGATTCCACAGGATAGGTACCAGTTGCCACGTTGTCCTGTTTCTGACATTCACTATATCACAACAGTATATTCGTTGTGCATTTATTTGCTAATTTCACAATGTTTCGTCTCCAAGCTTTCCGTGCAGATCCAGCAGGTGAAATAAGGACTTTAAGTCGTGCCAAGAGGACTGAATTACACACTCTTGCACATGAGTATCAACTAGAAGTTCCCTACCAAGCCAACAAATATGAGATACACAACCTGTTACTGGATCATTTCTTAGAGCAAGGTAAGATAGACTCTGAAACTCACGAAACTTACTTTATTGCAGATAAAACTGATTTGGCAACGATGAAACTCAAAGTAGAGCTGGCCAAGATTGAACGCGAGCAGCAAAGGGAAGCCCTCGAGCAACAAGAACGAGCAGCTGCCATACGAAGGGAAGTACAAGAACGTGAAATCGCCCTCAAGGAACGTGAAGCTACCTTGAGGAAAGAAGAACACGAACGTGAGGTTGCAATGCTCCGTGAGCGGGAACGAGTACAGCTCGAAACAAAACAACGCCAGTTGGAGATGCAACACGAACATGACAAACAACAAGCGACTCTGGCTATGGAATGTCGTCAACGAGAATTCGCGTTGGAAACTACACACCTCGCTCAACGCCAGCAAGCTACTGCCAATCTTCCCGTCAGTTTTAATATATCACATGCAAGTAAGTTAATGCCATCATTTGTAGAAACAGAAGTTGACGTGTTTTTCACCACTTTTGAAACCCTTGCTAATCAACTCAGTTGGCCTGCCGACCAATGGGCCACCCTTCTCAGAGTACATCTTACAGGTAGAGCTGCAGTCACACTCAGTACTTTGGCGTCTGAGAATGACTACCAGACTCTGAAACAAGCAGTGTTGGACGCCTACCTCCTCTCCACAGAAAGTTATCGAAGAAAATTCCGTGACTACCTGACCTGAAGGCAAGTACCACTACCTTTCTCGAGTTTGCTAACACCAAAAGGAGATATTTTATGAAATGGCTGGAAGCAGCACATGTCTCTACCTTTGCAGAACTCGTCAACCTGATGCTAGTTGAAGAATTCTTGAGGCGTGTGCCGCCTCCTGTCCGTCTATATTTAGCAGATAAAGAAGAAACCGACTACCTGAAGTGTGCTAAGTCGGCTGACACTTACAGCCTCATCCACCGGCTGACACCCGAACCATCCTCCAGTAAGAAGTCGTGGTACAGTTACGAGAAAGTGAGTACCGATCAAGCTGGCTCGCAATTGTACTGTAAGTATTGTAGACTCTATGGACATACCATAGACAAGTGTGGTAAGTCTCAATACAAGGGAACCACTGACCAACAAAGACCCAAACCAACTCCTCCTAAGTCCGGTAAGCCTGTGATGAATGTTGGTGTTCATGTTAATGATCTTTCTCTTTTCAGTAACCACCTGTATACTGGAACTGTCTCTGCCAACGGTTCAAATCCGGAGGGACGTTTCAAATTGAAGATCTTGAGGGACACAGCGGCTCTTCAATCGATCATCTTGAGGTCGGCTGTGCCCAACATCGCCTACACCGGAGAAACTGTCTTCATCACTGACCTCACTGCTACCACTCCTTATCCTCTCGCCAGAGTCCACCTGGATTGTCCCTTCGTGACCGGAGAAGTCCAAGTCGCCATCAGGGAAAAGCCTTTTCCCATGCCTGGAGTGCAATTTCTCCTGGGCAACGACTTGGCAGAAGACCTGCAACCGACCAACCTGATCATCACGGACAAACCCCAGGTGTGTACCTCTGTGACGGATAATCCTATATTTGAGTATGTTCCAGCAAAGGTTCAAGAGAGTGATGAAGTTTCTCCTCCGGTTCTAGTGACCACCCTTGCACAAGCTGCACGACCACAGCCAGCTGACTCTACTGCTACCGCTGTCCCTCAAGACCCTCAGAAACTACCCCCGAATCTGACCAAGTTGGAGTTCCATAAGTTACAGAGGGAAGATCTTACTTTAACACCATTGTTTTTCCAGGCTGAGACTCAACCCGACAGTATTCCTGGGTTCTTCCTAGAGAACGACTTGCTCTACCGCAGATATAGACCCAGTAAACTGAAGGAGGACGCGTATCATGTCGCTTATAGAGACATGATACGCGACGGAGGTCAATATAGCCAATACTGACACACATAAGCAAGGCCCAGGACAGTACTGACCGCCTATAGAGACATGATACGCGACGCAGGTCAATATAGCCAATACTGACACACATAAGCAAGGCCCCGGACAGTACTGACCGCTTATAGAGACATGATACGCGACGCAGGTCAATATAGCCAATACTGACACACATAAGCAAGGCCCCGGACAGTACTAACCGCTTATAGGGACATGGTACGCGACATAGGTCAATATAGCCAATACTGACACACATAAGCCAGGCCCAGGACAGTACTGACCGCTTATAGAGACATGATACGCGACGCAGGTCAATATTGCTAGTTTACGCGGCCCAAACTGCGTTAGTGTTTCCCTTGAACACAAAACGTCAGCAAAGTCCGCGGAGCAAACATGTTTTGACGGCTCTCTGCTGCCATCACAAGCCTCCAGGTGGGTGGAGCGTGGCTTACAGGTGGGTGGAGCGTGGCTTACAGGTCGGTGGAGCGTGGCTTACAGGTGGGTGGAGCGTGGTTTACTGGTGGGTGGAGCGTGGTTTACAGGTGGGTGGAGCGTGGCTTACAGGTGTATGGAGCGTGGCTTACAGGTGGGTGGAGCGTGGCTTACTGGTGGGTGGAGCGTGGCTTACTGGTGGGTGGAGCGTGGCTTACAGGTGGGTGGAGCGTGGCTTACAGATGGGTGGAGCGTGGCTTACAGGTGGGTGGAGCGTGGTTTACTGGTGGGTGGAGCGTGGTTTACAGGTGGGTGGAGCGTGGCTTACAGGTGGGAGGAGCATGGCTTACTGGTGGGTGGAGCGTGGCTTACAGGTGGGTGGAGCGTGGATTACAGGTGGGTGGAGCGTGGCTTACAGGTGGGTGGAGCGTGGCTTACTGGTGGGTGGAGCGTGGCTTACTGGTGGGTGGAGCGTGGCTTACAGGTGGGTGGAGCGTGGCTTACAGATGGGTGGAGCGTGGCTTACAGGTGGGTGGAGCGTGGTTTACTGGTGGGTGGAGCGTGGTTTACAGGTGGGTGGAGCGTGGCTTACAGGTGGGAGGAGCATGGCTTACTGGTGGGTGGAGCGTGGCTTACAGGTGGGTGGAGCGTGGCTTACAGGTGGGTGGAGCGTGGCTTACAGGTGGGTGGAGAGTGGTTTACTGGTGGGTGGAGCGTGGTTTACAGGTGGGTGGAGCGTGGCTTACAGGTGTATGGAGCGTGGCTTACAGGTGGGTGGAGCGTGGCTTACAGGTGGGTGGAGCGTGGCTTACTGGTGGGTGGAGCGTGGCTTACAGGTGGGTGGAGCGTGGCTTACTGGTGGGTGGAGCGTGGCTTACAGGTGGGTGGAGCGTGGCTTACAGGTGGGTGGAGCGTGGTTTACTGGTGGGTGGAGCGTGGCTTACAGGTGGGTGGAGCGTGGCTTACAGGTGGGTGGAGCGTGGCTTACAGGTGGGAGGAGCATGGCTTACTGGTGGGTGGAGCGTGGCTTACAGGTGGGTGGAGCGTGGCTTACAGGTGGGTGGAGCGTGGCTTACAGGTGGGAGGAGCATGGCTTACTGGTGGGTGGAGCGTGGCTTACATGTGGGTGGAGCGTGGCTTATAGGTGGGTGGAGCGTGGCTTACAGGTGGGAGGAGCATGGCTTACTGGTGGGTGGAGCGTGGCTTACAGGTGGGTGGAGCGTGGCTTACTGGTGGGTGGAGCGTGGCTTATAGGTGGGTGGAGCGTTGCTTACAGGTGGGTGGAGCGTTGCTTACAGGTGGGTGGAGCGTGGCTTACAGGTGGGTGGAGCGTGGCTTACTGGTGGGTGGAGCGTGGCTTACTGGTGGGTGGAGCGTGGCTTACAGGTGGGTGGAGCGTGGCTTACTGGTGGGTGGAGCGTGGCTTATAGGTGGGTGGAGCGTTGCTTACAGGTGGGTGGAGCGTGGCTTACTGGTGGGTGGAGCGTGGCTTACTGGTGGGTGGAGCGTGGCTTACAGGTGGGTGGAGCGTGGCTTACTGGTGGGTGGAGCGTGGCTTATAGGTGGGTGGAGCGTTGCTTACAGGTGGGTGGAGCGTTGCTTACAGGTGGGTGGAGCGTGGCTTACAGGTGGGTGGAGCGTGGCTTACTGGTGGGTGGAGCGTTGCTTACAGGTGGGTGGAGCGTGGCTTACAGGTGGATGGAGCGTGACTTACAGATAGGTGTAGCGTGACTTACAGGTGGGTGGAGCGTGGCTTACAGGTTGGTGGAGCATGACTTACAGATGGGTAGAGCATGACTTACAGGTGGGTGGAGCATGACTTACAGATGGGTGGAGCATGACTTACAGATGGGTGGAGCATGACTTACAGATGGGTGGAGCATGACTTACAGATGGGTGGAGCATGGCTTACAGGTTGGTGGAGCATGACTTACAGATGGGTGGAGCATGGCTTACAGGTTGGTGGAGCATGACTTACAGATGGGTGGAGCATGACTTACAGATGGGTGGAGCATGGCTTACAGATGGGTGGAGCATGGCTTACAGATGGGTGGAGCATGACTTACAGATGGGTGGAGCATGGCTTACAGGTGGGTGGAGCATGACACGTGGAGGGAACGACATGACTGAAAGACCAGAATGGATCATTAAGAGATATTTGCATATTTAATTGTCTATTGAGCCAAATGAATTGTAAATAATAAATAAACTTCAAATATATCTCAGGTAATTCAGAACTGTCTGAGGCAGTAACTGTCTGAGACAGTAACTGTTTGAGGCAGTAACTGTTTGAGGCAGTAACTGTTTGAGGCAGTAACTGTCTGAGACAGTAACTGTCTGAGACAGTAACTGTCTGAGGCAGTAACTGTTTGAGGCAGTAACTGTCTGAGGCAGTAACTGTTTGAGGCAGTAACTGTCTGAGGCAGTAACTGTCTGAGACAGTAACTGTTTGAGGCAGTAACTGTTTGAGGCAGTAACTGTTTGAGGCAGTAACTGTCTGAGGCAGTAACTGTCTGAGACAGTAACTGTTTGAGGCAGTAACTGTTTGAGGCAGTAACTGTCTGAGACAGTAACTGTCTGAGGCAGTAACTGTCTGAGGCAGTAACTGTTTGAGGCAGTAACTGTGTGAGGCAGTAACTGTCTGAGGCAGTAACTGTCTGAGGCAGTAACTGTTTGAGGCAGTAACTGTGTGAGGCAGTAACTGTGTGAGGCAGTAACTGTCTGAGACAGTAACTGTTTGAGGCAGTAACTGTTTGAGGCAGTAACTGTCTGAGACAGTAACTGTCTGAGGCAGTAACTGTCTGAGGCAGTAACTGTCTGAGGCAGTAACTGTGTGAGGCAGTAACTGTCTGAGGCAGTAACTGTGTGAGGCAGTAACTGTCTGAGGCAGTAACTGTCTGAGGCAGTAACTGTTTGAGGCAGTAACTGTGTGAGGCAGTAACTGTCTGAGGCAGTAACTGTCTGAGGCAGTAACTGTCTGAGGCAGTAACTGTCTGAGGCAGTAACTGTCTGAGGCAGTAACTGTCTGAGGCAGGAACTGTCTGAGGCAGTAACTGTCTGAGGCAGGAACTGTTTGAGGCAGTAACTGTCTGAGACAGGAACTGTCTGAGGCAGTAACTGTCTGAGGCAGTAACTGTCTGAGGCAGTAACTGTCTGAGGCAGTAACTGTCTGAGGCAGTAACTGTCTGAGGCAGTAACTGTGTGAGGCAGTAACTGTGTGAGGCAGTAACTGTGTGAGGCAGTAACTGTGTGAGGCAGTAACTGTCTGAGGCAGTAACTGTCTGAGGCAGTAACTGTCTGAGGCAGTAACTGTCTGAGGCAGTAACTGTCTGAGGCAGGAACTGTCTGAGGCTGTAACTGTTTGAGGCAGGAACTGTCTGAGGCAGTAACTGTCTGAGGCAGGAACTGTCTGAGACAGTAACTGTCTGAGGCAGTAACTGTCTGAGGCAGTAACTGTCTGAGGCAGGAACTGTCTGAGACAGTAACTGTCTGAGACAGTAACTGTCTGAAGCTGTAACTGTCTGAGACAGTAACTGTCTGAGGCAGGAACTGTCTGAGGCAGTAACTGTCTGAGGCAGTAACTGTCTGAGGCAGTAACTGTCTGAGACAGGAACTGTCTGAGGCAGTAACTGTCTGAGGCAGTAACTGTGTGAGGCAGTAACTGTTTGAGGCAGTAACTGTCTGAGGCAGTAACTGTCTGAGGGAGTAACTGTCTGAGGCAGGAACTGTCTAAGGCAGTAACTGTCTGAGGCAGTAACTGTGTGAGGCAGTAACTGTCTGAGACAGTAACTGTCTGAGACAGTAACTGTCTGAGGCAGTAACTGTTTGAGGCAGTAACTGTCTGAGGCAGTAACTGTCTGAGACAGTAACTGTTTGAGGCAGTAACTGTTTGAGGCAGTAACTGTTTGAGGCAGTAACTGTCTGAGGCAGTAACTGTCTGAGACAGTAACTGTTTGAGGCAGTAACTGTTTGAGGCAGTAACTGTCTGAGACAGTAACTGTCTGAGGCAGTAACTGTCTGAGGCAGTAACTGTTTGAGGCAGTAACTGTGTGAGGCAGTAACTGTCTGAGGCAGTAACTGTCTGAGGCAGTAACTGTTTGAGGCAGTAACTGTGTGAGGCAGTAACTGTGTGAGGCAGTAACTGTCTGAGACAGTAACTGTTTGAGGCAGTAACTGTTTGAGGCAGTAACTGTCTGAGACAGTAACTGTCTGAGGCAGTAACTGTCTGAGGCAGTAACTGTGTGAGGCAGTAACTGTGTGAGGCAGTAACTGTGTGAGGCAGTAACTGTGTGAGGCAGTAACTGTCTGAGGCAGTAACTGTCTGAGGCAGTAACTGTTTGAGGCAGTAACTGTGTGAGGCAGTAACTGTCTGAGGCAGTAACTGTCTGAGGCAGTAACTGTCTGAGGCAGTAACTGTCTGAGGCAGTAACTGTCTGAGGCAGGAACTGTCTGAGGCAGTAACTGTCTGAGGCAGGAACTGTTTGAGGCAGTAACTGTCTGAGACAGGAACTGTCTGAGGCAGTAACTGTCTGAGACAGTAACTGTCTGAGGCAGTAACTGTCTGAGGCAGTAACTGTCTGAGGCAGTAACTGTCTGAGGCAGTAACTGTGTGAGGCAGTAACTGTGTGAGGCAGTAACTGTCTGAGGCAGTAACTGTCTGAGGCAGTAACTGTCTGAGGCAGTAACTGTCTGAGGCAGTAACTGTCTGAGGCAGTAACTGTCTGAGGCAGGAACTGTCTGAGGCAGTAATTGTCTGAGGCAGTAACTGTCTGAGGCTGTAACTGTCTGAGGCAGGAACTGTCTGAGGCTGTAACTGTTTGAGGCAGGAACTGTCTGAGGCAGTAACTGTCTGAGGCAGGAACTGTCTGAGACAGTAACTGTCTGAGGCAGTAACTGTCTGAGGCAGTAACTGTCTGAGGCAGGAACTGTCTGAGACAGTAACTGTCTGAGGCTGTAACTGTCTGAGACAGTAACTGTCTGAGGCAGGAACTGTCTGAGGCAGTAACTGTCTGAGGCAGTAACTGTCTGAGGCAGTAACTGTCTGAGGCAGTAACTATCTGAGGCAGTAACTGTCTGAGGCAGGAACTGTCTAAGGCAGTAACTGTCTGAGGCAGTAACTGTCTGAGGCAGTAACTGTCTGAGGCAGTAACTGTCTGAGGCAGTAACTGTCTGAGGCAGTAACTGTCTGAGGCAGTAATTGTCTGAGGCAGGAACTGTCTGAGGCAAGAACTGTCTGAGGCAGTAACTGTCTGAGGCAGTAACTGTCTGAGGCAGGAACTGTCTGAGGCAGTAACTGTCTGAGGCAGTAACTGTCTGAGGCAGGAACTGTCTGAGGCAGTAACTGTCTGAGGCAGTAACTGTCTGAGGCAGTAACTGTCTGAGGCAGTAACTGTCTGAGGCAGTAACTGTCTGAGGCAGTAACTGTCTGAGACAGGAACTGTCTGAGGCAGTAACGACAAGGTAATAATTGCGGAAAAGGTTTAAAAACCTCAATTAGTTTCCTTTGAGACAAACAAAACCATTCTTTGTGAATGATAAAATCATTCTCTAATCATCCTTTGATAAGGATAAAACGGGGTGACTTTCGACAACCTAAACACTGTCTTTTTCTATCCGGCCGGAGAGCTTTCAATCCGGCCCTCTCCTTTCTATCCGGCCGGAGAGCTTACAATCAAACGTGTGTCACGTCCAGAGTGGTCCAAAACGTCCTCGTTCCGTCATCGTCTAATGTGTGGTTTGGTCATCGTATATATGTGGTCCTCCCCCCTCCCCCTGTTCCCGTGTTCGTACGTGGCGTACTAGTGATGAGTGTAACTGATGAATCATGCTCCTGATGCAACCATCATCAGTGTGAAAATCAAGTATCACTTCACAACCTTTCATGGCACCATTGATCAACAATAAGACCTCTAAACTACCTCATTACACCTACGCAATCCTTATTTCCCTTCTTCCTGGTTATCTTGAGGTGATTTCGGGGCTTAGTGTCCCCGCGGCCCGGTCTTCGACCAGGCCTTCACCCCTAGGAAGCAGCTCGTAGCAGCTGTGTAACTGCTAGGTACCTATTTAATGCTAGGTAACAGGGGCATAAGGGTGAAAGAAACACTGCCCATTTGTTTCCTCTTCCACCGGGGATCGAACCCGATACCTCAGGGCTACGAATCCGTAGCGTTGTCCACTCAGCTCTCTGGCTCCCTGTCTGAAGGAGCTTGAAATTATCATGATCTGAGGATCTGATCTCAGATCATGATCTGAGGATTTGATCTAAGATCATGATCTGAGAATCTGATCTAAGATCATGATCTGAGGATCTGATCTAAGATCATGATCTGAGGATCTGAGGATCTGATCTCAGATCATGATCTGAGGATCTTGAAATTATTCATTCCGACGAGTCTCAAAATCAGGCTCGCAAATACCCGATGCGCACACAAACAAGAAGATGAAACAAAAGAGAGAATCAAGAAAACAATTTTCCCTGACGCGACTGCTGACGTGGGATCAAGAATCACTCACATGTAATATTCTTTAAACGGATAACACAAAAATGAGAAAAGAAAATGAAACACAGGCACTCACTGTCTAGTATAAATTAGGCTCTTTAAGAATTAGAAAAGACGAATTCAAGCGCCCACCCAAACAATTGAGAGGCGGACCCAAAGAGCCAGAGCTCAACCCCTGCAAGCACAGCTAGGTAAGTACAGACTACATTACTTTCACCAGTTGATTGGCAGTTGAGAGGCGGAACCAAAGAGCCAAAGCTCAACCCCTGCAAGCACAACTAGGTGAGTACAGACTACATTACTTTCACCAGTTGATTGGCAGTTGAGAGGCGGAACCAAAGAGCCAAAGCCCAACTCCGGCAAGCACAACTTGGTGAGTGCAACTAGTTGAGTACTTTGACTGACAGTAGATGGAAAAATATAATAGCGCTGTGATATACAACCCTCCCCCCCCTAACCCCCCTACCACCGCCTACCCCCCCTACCACCGCCTACCCCCCCCCCCATACCCCCCCCATACCCCCCCCCGCCATACCCCCCCCATAACCCCCCCCACCCCCAGTAAGCAACACCAGACCCTGTCCAACACAGCAATACGAGGACACCAAAGGGAACTATCAAGGGGAAAGCGCCAAGCCATTACGACTATATAGCACTAGGAAGGAATCAGGATAAGGATTTGGGATGGGACGGGGGAAAGGAATGGTGCCCAACCACTTGGACGGTCGGGGATCGAACACCGACCTGCGTGAAGCAATACCGTCTCACTAGTGGTTGAGGTACAACGCACAGAAGAACAAAATAACAGATAAAAATGTATCTCATTGCAAAACATTCAAGTTATCAGTCGAGGGTTAAAATGGCGGGGAAGAAACGTGGAAGAACATTGATAAAAGTTTTATATACACCAATATCCACAAAAATCACAATGGCGTGATATATCAAAATGAATAAATCCACAAGGGAAGTATTGAGGGTTCGAACCTTCGTCCAGGATGATCCCAGACGCGTCCTAGTCGACTACAGCGCGTCTGGGATCATCCCGGACGTAAGTTCGAACCCTCATCACCGCCCTTATGGATTTATTAATTGTATACATAACTCCCCAACACAGTAGGACAGGAAGGTCAACTTCCCAACACAGCAGGACAGGAAGGTCAACTTCCCAACACAGCAGGACAGGAAGGACAACTCCCCAACACAGCAGGACAGGAAGGACAACTCCCCAACACAGCAGGACAGGAAGGACAACTCCCCAACACAGCAGGACAGGAAGAACAACTCCCCAACACAGCAGGACAGGAAGGTCAACTTCCCAACACAGCAGGACAGGAAGAACAACTCCCCAACACAGCAGGACAGGAAGAACAACTCCCCAACACAGCAGGACAGGAAGAACAACTTGCCAACACAGTAACACAGGAAGGACAACTCCCCAACACAGCAGGACAGGAAGGACAACTCCCCAACACAGCAGGACAGGAAGGACAACTCCCCAACACAGCAGGACAGGAAGGACAACTCCCCAACACAGCAGGACAGGAAGAACAACTTCCCAACACAGCAGGACAGGAAGGTCAACTCCCCAACACAGTAGGACAGGAAGGTCAACTTCCCAACACAGCAGGACAGGAAGAACAACTCCCCAACACAGCAGGACAGGAAGGACAACTTCCCAACACAGCAGGACAGGAAGAACAACTCCCCAACACAGCAGGACAGGAAAGACAACTTGCCAACACAGCAGGACAGGAAGAACAACTCCCCAACACAGCAGGATACGAGACAATGGAGAGAGAGGCGGAGAAACATGTAATATTCTCGACCAGACCATAACCTAAAGTGAGGCGGAGAGTGAGGACACGAGGCGCGAGACCACAGTATAACCCACCAACTGTGGCGCCGAGATCTTCCACTACATGATGGAAATCCAAGCCAAGATCTCGCCGGAGAGTTGTCCATCTGGCAACAAGAACAGATTAGAAACAAAAATTACATGGGTTGAAAACCTTTGGAAAAGCCAATTACAGTGTGGTCCATGGTACAGCTGTGTCCTGAGTAGTCTCTGGTACAGTTGTATCCTGAGTAGTCCACGGTACAGCTGTGTCCTGAGTAGTCCATGGTACAGCTGTATCCTGAGTAGTCCATGGTACAGCTGTATCCTGAGTAGTCCATGGTACAGCTATATCCTGAGTAGTCTATGGTACAGTTGTATCCTGAGTAGTCCATAGTACAGTTGTATCCTGAGTAGTCCATGGTACAGCTGTATCCTGAATAGTCCATGGTACAGTTGTATCCTGAGTAGTTCATGGTACAGCTGTATCCTGAGTAGTCTCTGGTACAGTTGTATCCTGAGTAGTCCACGGTACAGCTGTGTCCTGAGTAGTCCATGGTACAGCTGTATCCTGAGTAGTCCATGGTACAGCTATATCCTGAGTAGTCTCTGGTACAGTTGTATCCTGAGTAGTCCATGGTACAGCTGTATCCTGAGTAGTCCATGGTACAGCTATATCCTGAGTAGTCTCTGGTACAGTTGTATCCTGAGTAGTCCATGGTACAGCTGTATCCTGAGTAGTCTCTGGTACAGCTGTATCCTGAGTAGTCCACGGTACAGCTGTGTCCTGAGTAGTCCATGGTACAGCTGTATCCTGAGTAGTCCATGGTACAGCTGTATCCTGAGTAGTCCATGGTACAACTGTATCCTGAGTAGTCCATGGTACAGCTGTATCCTGAGTAGTTCATGGTACAGCTGTATCCTGAGTAGTCCATGGTACAGCTGTATCCTGAGTAGTTCATGGTACAGCTGTGTCCTGAGTAGTCCATGGTACAGCTGTATCCTGAGTAGTCCATGGTACAGCTATATCCTGAGTAGTCCATGGTACAGCTGTATCCTGAGTAGTCCATGGTACAGCTGTATCCTGAGTAGTCTCTGGTACAGCTGTATCCTGAGTTGTTCATGGTACAGCTGTATCCTGTCGGCATCCCATGGTTGACACGTGAGATTGTTCACGTGTTCTAGATCATTAGCAAATGAACATCCGTTGTACCTTGATGGGGTTTTGGGAGTTCTTCTACTCTCCCAAGCCCGGCCCGAGGCCAGGCTGGACTTGTGAGAGCTTGGTCCACCAGGCTGTTGCTTGGAGCGGCCCGCAGGCCCCACGTACCCACCACAACCCTCTCTTACGTTCTTTTAGCCATGAATAGAGCAACTCTTCCATCTGGTTCATCCCATTAGTGAATGAATCGTCTTGAGGCTACAGTTGAATCATCTGGTCATGCAGAATGAATAGTGTAAAATGTTTCAAATACAAATGATTTGGCTTCACATTAATGGTTAAATTCATTCTGTTTAATATACACAAACACACATTTAAACATGATATACAATTCTTTTTGTTGCCACTGGCATAAGGAGCTCAAGGCAATATGAACTGTAGTGGACTGAGTGATTTTCTTTGGATTAAATTAAATCCCTCTGAACGTTATTTAAACTTTTATATTGTTAATCACCGTTCAGCGAGCCCCGGGTCTTCCCGCGCGAAGGAAGTGAACGAAGCCAAGCGAGAAGGGCGTAGATACGTCTCTTTATTGACGTTGTGGTTCCCGCTACACTCTCTGGGCGTCTCAGGACGGCGGGAGAGAAAACGGAATGATGATTTCACCGTCGGTACTGTCTTCCCTGCAAGTGACACTACCATGTACCATATATATATATATATATATATATATATATATATATATATATATATATATATATATATATATATATATATATATATATATATATATATGCAAACAAGCCTGAATGGTCCCCAGGACTATATACAACTGAAAACTCACACCCCAGAAGTGACTCGAACCCATACTCCCACAACTGGTATGTACAGGGACGCCTTAATCCGCTTGACCATCACGACCGGACATAAGGAAGTGATAGCCGAGGCTATATGAACCACTTCCCCGCCGGCACTCGGATGGTAATCTTGGGCATAGCATTTTATCAAATCACCTCATTCTTTGGGGCACACGTGAGGAACACAAATGCAAACAAGCCTGAATGGTCCCCTGGACTATATACAACTGAAAACTCACACCCCAGAAGTGACTCGAACCCATACTCCCACAACTGGTATGTACAGGGACGCCTTAATCCGCTTGACCATCACGACCGGACATAAGGAAGTGATAGCCGAGGCTATATGAACCACTTCCCCGCCGGCACTCGGATGGTAATCTTGGGCATAGCATTTTATCAAATCACCTCATTCTTTGGGGCACACGTGAGGAACACAAATGCAAACAAGCCTGAATGGTCCCCAGGACTATATATTCAGGCTATATTCAGGACTAGACCATTCAGGCTTGTTTGCATTTGTGTTCCTCACGTGTGCCCCAAAGAATGAGGTGATTTGATAAAATGCTATGCCCAAGATTACCATCCGAGTGCCGGCGGGGAAGTGGTTCATATAGCCTCGGCTATCACTTCCTTATGTCCGGTCGTGATGGTCAAGCGGATTAAGGCGTCCCTGTACATACCAGTTGTGGGAGTATGGGTTCGAGTCACTTCTGGGGTGTGAGTTTTCAGTTGTATATAGTCCTGGGGACCAGTCAGGCTTGTTTGCATTTGTGTTCCTCACGTGTGCCAGAAAGAATGAGGTGATTTGATAAAATGCTATGCCCAAGATTACCATCCGAGTGCCGGCGGGGAAGTGGTTCATATAGCCTCGGCTATCACTTCCTTATGTCCGGTCGTGATGGTCAAGCGGATTAAGGCGTCCCTGTACATACCAGTTGTGGGAGTATGGGTTCGAGTCACTTCTGGGGTGTGAGTTTTCAGTTATATATATATATATATATATATATATATATATATATATATATATATATATATATATATATATATATATATATATATGTATATATATATTTTTTTTTTATAGGGGTACCACCACTGGTTTAATTAAAGGGACCCACATCCTCGAAGAAGAAAATAAATAGTGTTCAGAGAAGACCTTGTGGATTCTCACTGAATTCTTTAATCTTTTCCTCTCCTACCACCCCTATTATTTTTTTTTATTTGATTTTATTGCAATGCTACAGTTTACAAAAAACACACACTTATATAACAATATACCAATCAGTGTTCGAAGACCTCGTCCATCTCCTCGGGGGTCGGGTGCGTACCCAAAATACAGCACGCATTTCCCCTCTGAACAGCGACACTGATGCGCTGGAACATAAAACTGGCCGCTCTTGGGTCTCTAGTCTTCCCAATGAGTTCCTCGCCCAGCTCCTTCAGGAACTTAAGTGCACATTTTCCCCAGGCACCCAGAGTCTCAGAGCCTATTGGCACAAACCTGTAACAACGTTCTAGGTCCCTGTACTTGTTAGTTTTCTGGGTCTCCCTGAAGGTGGCCGCCCCGCCTCCCTCAGCTGCGCTGTAAGGTAGATAGGTATCAGCCAATGTAGATGCACACGTGTAGTCCCACACGACCTGTTTACCTTCCCTCCACGGCTGCAGGGTGACCCCATCTGGGCGTTTTTGGCTGTTGTCAGGCCTGCACAACTGAGGTTCCCTTTGTGCTGGGCATCCAGCTGAAGCCAAACTTCTCTTGATGATGTCATTGACTGCTTCATGTCTGGCAATCTTTCCCTGTGTCTTACGACAGATGAGACCATGGCTGCCGTATTGGTCTGCCCGTGCATGACCGCAAATACACCGGTGCTCGGTGGAGATAGGGGCGGCAAGGCGCAGAGCAACACCAATACTTAGGGTCCGATGGTCCAGGCGGGTGCCCAAGGCGGAATCTGGGACTGCCAACAGGAAGTCCCCGGCATGGGGCGCATGCACAGCTAGAAGACGCGCTTTGTCCTTCCTGGAAGCTGCCTCCAGCAATGATGTGGAGATGTTCTCCACTATGGGGCTATCCCATTTGGACTGTTTGCAGTCATTTGGAAAAGTCGGATGAGAGTTGACGAGAGTGTACCTTCTCCTTGTACCGTCTTGTACCCTAAGGTACCTTGTACCAAGGTACAAGGTCCAAGGTAAAATATATATATATATATATATATATATATATATATATATATATATATACCTTTGGTTTTTTGTTTGGTAACTATACTCATGCACGCAGGATGTTCACTAGTGTGTCTTATTCTTCAACTGTTTTTCTAATCATTGTAGTGGCTGTGGAGTGTGCATCTAATGCAGCTGCTGTCGTTGGATTAATGTTGAGTTTGATGCTCAGGGCTTCAGTAGCTTCACATTCCAGTAATTAGTGCAATAGTGGCGCCTCTGCTTCTGTTCCACAGATATGACACACTTTAACTATTGGGTTTATTACCTCCCAGCAGCACTTGTAACCAAGTCTGAGTCTGTGTATGACTACTGCAATGTCTCTGGATATCTTTTTATCAGGCTTGAAAGAGTAGTATCCATAGTGGCTTGTTCGTACCATATCGCAGTGGATCTTCCTTCCGCTACTTTGGCTCTGTGGCGACTTTAGATATGCAGACGATGAGTCCCATAACGTGGCGGAGGACGTGATGACCACACCACACACCACGACGACGTTTCGGTCCGTCCTGGACCGTTATCAAGTTGATTGTGATGGGAGCGAGAGAGTTTACAATGATGATTGATTGATTGATAAGGATTAAGTCACCCAAGAGGTGGCACGGGCATGAATAGCCCGTAAGTGGTACAATTTTTTGTTCAGTAAATATTTTCACTGTTCTGAGGTCGCATTTAATCGTCAAGCTGCTCTCTTCTCAACCTGACATATTCATTCCTGGCATTCTGGTATCTTTCTCTGCTCTCAAGTGTCCTGTTATTCCTATAGTTTCTCCATGCCCTTTTACTTTGCTGCTTAGCTAGCCTACATCTCTGATTAAACCATGGCTTTCTCATCTGCATTCCACTCTTTTCCTTTTGGGCTGGGACAAGCTTGTTTGCTGCTGCCTTGTACTTCTGCGTGATGTAGTCCATCATGTCTTGGGCCGTCTTTCCCCTAAGCTCTGTTTCCCATGTTAGGAATTTTCTTATCTTCTCATAGTTTCCCTTTCGGAATGCCAGCCTTTTGTTTACAGTATCCCTCCTCGAGTTCAATAACCCTTATTCAATCAGGTACTCAAACGCCAGTACACTGTGGTCGACGGCTAATGTACTGTACTCACCTATGTATTATGTGGATGTACTGTACTCCTTTATCCACTGGAGCGCCCTACCAGTTACTCCTGCCTGTTTCTCCAGCTTATGCATCAACCTTTTATGGGGTACTGTGTCAAAGGCTTTTCGACAGTCCAAATGTGTGTGAGCCCTCTTGTGTTAAATAGACTGTCTTTGTCTACCTTATTAATTAATTTGAAAATCTTGTATGTGGTGATCATGTTCCCCTTAGATCTTCTGTTTTCCAGCGACGTGAGGTTAATTTCCCGTAGTTTCTCCTCATGGCTCATGTCCCTCAGCTCGGGTACTAGTCTGGTGGCAAACCTCTGAACCTTCGCTAATTTATTCTAATGCTTGACGAGATATGGACTCCATGCTGGAGCTGCATACTCCAGGACTGGTCTGACATACGTGGTATACACGGTTCCAAATAATTCCTTACACAATTTTCTAAAGGCCGTTCTTATATTGGCCAGCCTAGCATATGCTGCTGATGTTATCCTCTTGATATGAGCTTCAGGGGACAGGTCTGGTGTGATATCAACCCCCCAGGTCTTTCTCTCTCTCTGACTCTTGAAGTATCTCATCTCCCAAATGATACCTTGTATCTGGCCTCCAGGTCCCATCACCTATCTTCATTACATTACATTTGTCCGGATTAAACTCTAACAACCATTTGTTGGACCATTCCTTCAGCTTGTCCAGGTCTTCTTGAAGCCTCATGCTGTTCTTCTCTGTCTTAATCCTTTTCATAATTTTGGCATCATCAGTAAACATTGAGAGGAATGAGTCTATAACCTCTGGGAGATCA